GGGGTGCAGTTCAAATATCTGACAAAATAGACTTCAAAGTAAAACTAATCAGAAAAGATAGGAGGGTCACTCCACTCTGATCAAAGGAACAGTTAACCAAGAAGAGATTACAATCCTTAACATATATGCACCAAATTCTGGTGCACCCAAATTCATAAAATGAACACTACAGGACTGTAAGACACAGATTAACTCCAAATCAGTAATAGTAGGGGACTTCAATACCCACTGTCTCCATTAGACTGGTTAACTGGACAAAGAATAAACAGAGACGTCTGAATTAAATGATACCATACACACACCAAATGGACCTAACAGACATCTTTCAATTATTCCACCCAAACACCAAAGAATACACTTTCTACTCAGCACCTCATGGAAATTTTTCAAAAATTGACCACATACTGGGCCACAAAACAAACCTCAACAAATACAAAAATATTGAAATAATTCCATGCATTCTATGGACCACAAAGCAATAAGTCTCAAAATCAACACTAGAGGAAGCTCCAGTCACTACACAAACTTGCGATGATTGAACAACACACTCCTAAACAATGAGTGGGTCAAAGGAGAAATTAAGAAAGAAATAAAAGAATTCCTGGAATTTAACAAAAAGGACAATACAACACAACAGAACCTCTGGGACACATTAAAAGCAATCCTAAGAGGGAAGTTTATAGCTCTAAGTGCCTACATTAAAAAACTGGAAAGAGCCCAAATAAATGACCTAACACTGCAACTCAAGGCACTGGAAAGGCAAGAACAAATGAAACACAAACCAGCAGAAGAGAAGAAATAACAAAAATCAGAGCAGAAATTAATGCGATAGAAACAAAGAAAACAATACAAAGAATCAATGAATCTAAGAGCTGGTTCTTTGAAAAGCTAAACAAGATAGACAGACCCTTAGCCCAGTTAACCAAAAGAAAGAAAGAGCAAATCCAAATCAACAAAATCAGAGATGAAAGGGGAAATATCACGACACCAAAGATCCAAACCATTATAAGGGAATATTTTAAAAACCTATATGCTACTAAATCTGAAAGTCTAAAAGAAATGGATGGATATCTGAAATCATGGGAACCTCCAAAGTTAAACCAAGAAGAGATCAACAGTTTAAACAGACCCAAACATATAAGGAAATTGAAACACTAATACAAAGCCTCCCAACTAAAAAGAGCCCAGGCCCAGATGGATTTACAGCAGAATTCTATCAGACATTTATAGAAGACCTCCAACCAATACTACTTAAATTATTCAAAACAATAGAAACAGAGGGAGTACTCCCAAACTCCTTCTATGAAGCCAGCATCACTCTAATGCCCAAACTGGGTAAAGACACAACCAAAAAAGAAAACTATAGACCCATATCCTTAATGAATATAGATGCAAAAATTCTCAACAAAATACTTGCAAACCGCATACAGACACACATCAAAAAGATCATTCACCATGGTCAAGTAGGCTTTATCCCAGAGATGCACGGATGGTTCAATATACACAAGTCAATAAATGTCATTAATCATATAAATGGACTCAAAGACAAAAACCACACTGTCATCTCAATAGATGCAGAAAAGGCTTTTGACAAAA